TTCGCCCACTGAGCTTGCATAGAGTGAGGCAAAAGAATGACTATTCGCTCTAAAGTAACTAAAGAATTTAGATCAGCAGTATAATTCATCTGTTCCAAGATCATAGCACAATTTTCCATTTTCATAGCCAGGTTCGATAGCTGCTCTGCGTCATTACAATCAACATTTACTGTATTGAATAAGTCTTCCAAGGTTTCTCGAGCGATTACATGCGACTGTCCGAACAAACGTTTTAGAATTTCTCTGGCCCTCTTATAACCAACAGACGCTTTCATCATGACACAACCCTCTATAGCAGATTTTGCCTTACCCTTACAATAGTGTATCAAATAGAGCAAACGTTGGCTATCATCAATGACTCTTGACGCTACGTAGGTTTCAAACTGCCTTATAAACTTCCAGTACTCTTTTGGCTGTCCATCGAAATAACTTAACTCAACCTTTGGTAACTCTAAACATAGATAAGGTGTCACAGGCATGACGCTCTTCGCTTGCTTTACATCTGAACTAGGATTTTCCACGTCATCTGCCACTAAATCACAACTAGACTCACTATCATGATAATCAACCCTACTTGAGTCTGAACCATGACACTTAAGGACATCAAAAGGTACTTGCTTTGTAAGAGGGGATCCATCATTTAGTTTAGCTCCATTAGCACCGAGCTTTGAACTTGACTTTCTTTGACGAGTGTTCGGCATCACGAGAGAAACGACCAAATATTTTCAGAAACAGCAATTAAAATCCGCGAAGCGATAGCCAAACAACTTCGACCAATCGATATTTGTTTAGAACTGTAAGATCCAAACTAAGGTTTGGACTGAAGAATAGCTGTCTTGGTGGGTTAGATACGCGCCCTTGCCCGTTTGAAACCAAAACAAAGTAATCGGGTGAAATGACGGTTCTATAATTCATCATAAATTTAAATGTACATCGTTACCTAAACAAATATAACCACCCAGCTATCCAACCAACAATAGTTCAATTAATCAAATCTAAATTACAATAAATAAGAAAGTTGAAAAAGGATGCTAGAAAATTACCAATCGCAACAAATAAATGTTATTCTATCCTGTCTGGATAGATTACACACAGATTCGTTCAAAAGATAATGTTTGGTTGCTTTACAACACCAAGTGTTTTCAATTCTGGAAGAGTGCTTCAACTCACAGTCAAAAATGCACAATTCCAGTCAATGCACGCAACACAATCAAAGGGAGAAACAACCCAATATAGCTGCCGCCAAGAATAGGTATCAAATCAAACAACATAAATGCAGTTCAGAAAGAAACACGGAAACTTTGTGAAGGCGTAAGAAAAAATAAAAACTGTAATAAAATACAAATGCTATTAACTCAAATGGAATGAAAAAGACTGATACAAATGTACAACCAAAGGTATCAATAAGAATAAACTGCAAGTGTATACATGGAGGGATTTTCACACACAAATAATTCAAAATGGATCTTACACTGCCCAGACATCATGTGCAAGCGTATGGGAACTTATTCAGGAAATTCATTTGCCGGCAGAATAAATCCCACACTAGGTATAAAATAGATATCAAGGACTGCCCGAATAACGGTCACACCAAGTATTAAGTTTAGGGAATTTCTAAATGTAGATTACTAGATTCTGACTTAATGATATTGTTGTGTTGGTCAAAATGAACGAGATATCTTGTTCAGTAACTTTCGGGGTATATGTGACCAGGAGAGTAGTTGTGTTTAGCTAGTCCAAAAATTTTCCTAATCCACCTGAACTGTCTATTTAGTATTGCTGACTTTTGGCTAACCAACAACACAGCAGAAAATTACACATAAAGACTATTAGTCCAGAATGTAGTTTCCAACGCTTGGTCGTCCTATAACCAGAATAGACCAAAACTCAGCACACAGATAACAATTAATCATGCATACAACAATATAGAGCAAAAAACGTTCATCAACATAATTCAAACAATTTACAATATGGCACTAATACGTCAGAAGTGGAAGCGGACTGAGTAAATGGTTCGTAACATGCTAATGATAAACCGGAAAAGATAAAACATAACAGTAGTTTATGAGTCGACCTAAAGCTTAGAAGCTAAGGAATATAAAAGTAAAACGGTTTAAGTATTTAACAACTACACATCTAAAAAATATAAACAGTAACTTCAGACTGGACTATTTCTAAAGTTCAACTTTCTTTAATATTTATTTAACATAGAAGATATAGTTATAATATTCACTCGAATACTTAATTGTCTAAAGTTCAATACTTGTGAAGATGCCACATGTATTTGAAGTTTGACAACGCTTCAAACAGTAACACCTAATATCAATCGTACCAACCAAGTGAAATCAAAAGACAGAAGCGAGGAGGTTCGAAGATATATTTGATGGGCTATCAATATATCTTGAATCGACTGATCTAATCTGGCTAGCGATTGAAGGGTATGTTTGTTGAGCATGGCATTCCCACTCGTAATTTGGTGTGGATGCATGACCGAGTGCCTTCAGCTAGGTGAGTTCATTGAAACTAATGTGGTCAGCATCCAATATCGAAAACTTACAGAGCTATTTATTTTGGGGAATTTTTAACGCTACACTTGAAATTGTCATGGGTTTGCACATGTAGATAGCCTCAAAATAAAACATTATATATATATTCACCGCTCTAGTTTTTGATATTTCCTCAGTTGATTTCAACATAAGATATAAATAAGTCCCTTAATTTACATATAATTACAATGAAAAAAATACCAACAAAAGAAACTGATTAAAACAAAGAATTTTTATCAACCCACTATTTCTGAAATTATCATAATACAATGTCATACGAACATTTTTATGTCTTGATGATCGGTTTACCACAATCTCGTGCTGATTATTATCCATCGCTCTCATAGTTAAAAGTTTATTCTACTCACTTACTGAGTCATTAGTTCATATCTTTTCGTGTTCCACTTCGATTTAGACCTTCACATTCAAACTAATTTAGACAGTTCCCAACTCTCTAGTACAAACAGTACAGTACTAAAGAATACAACAACAACAGCAACAACAACACCTACTACTACTACTACCCCTACTACCACTACTACTACTGTAGTGCAAATAATCACCAGTGGTGGACAACCGAAAGTAATTAACAACAAATTACAGAGCATCTCGATAAAATATGAGAACCATGTATTAAATCGTTAATTTGCAAATTGTTCATCAGTTGTCTCAAATGACTCAGACTTCCTTTGTTCTTGCATTTTCGTACAAATTTCATTCTTTCTTCATTTTTATTGTTCGATCTTCTCGTCTCTCTGCTGCCAGACATTCTGTTCAGTACTCACGTCATATACTACTTATGTCTACATAAGTAGTACACACCACATTCGTCCCCCTTTAAAAGCAGTCGTTCTTGCGGTGGTTCATGCTCGCCGTGCAACATTCTTCCATCTGAAGTCTGTGCTACTCACTCCGTCAAAATGTCGAGTCTGCGGCGAGCTGACTTCCATAGCTCCGTCGACCCGCCGGGGAACCAACATCCGACCTCCACCCGACACATGGGACGTCTACACTCGTGCTCCACCGGCCTGCTGAGCCATCTATATCCGACGTCCGCCTAGCAGCCGCACGTCCCACCGCTCCTCTACCACTACTACTACTACTACTACCACATTTGCTTAATGAATTTTAATGAATATTACTTTACTTACTTACTTACGCCTGTTACTCCAAATGGAGCATAGGCCACCGACCAGCATTCTCCAACCCACTCTGTCCTGGGCCTTCTTTTCTAGTTCCATCCAATTCTTGTTCATTTTTCTCATGTCTCGCTCCATTTCCCGGCGTAATGTATTCTTTGGTCTTCCTCTCTTCCTTCGACCTTGAGGATTCCATATGAGGGCTTGTCTTGTGACGCAGTTCGGTGCTTTCCTCAATGTGTGTCCTATCCACTTCCAGCGCTTCTTCCTGATTTCTTCCTCCACTGGGATCTGATTTGTTCTCTCCCACAATAGGTTGTTGCTTATAGTGTCCGGCCAACGGATCCGAAGTATTTTGCGTAGACAACTGTTAATAAACACCTGTATCTTTTGGACGATGGATTTCGTAGTTTTCCAGGTTTCCGCGCCATACAGTAGAACTGTCTTCACATTTGTATTGAAAATTATGACTTTGGTGTTGGTTGCCAATTGTTTTGAGTCCCAGATGTTCTTCAGTTGTAAATATGCCGCTCTTGCTTTGCCGATCCGTGCCTTCACATCTGCATCAGATCCACCGTGTTCATCGATGATGCTGCCCGAATATGTAAAGGTTTTTACATCTTCCAAAGCTTCTCCGTCAATTGTGATTGGATTGGTGCATGCTGTGTTGTATCGAAGAATCTTGCTTTTCCCTTTGTGTATATTGAGACCTATTGCTGCTGAGGCTGCAGCTACACTGGTTGTCTTCTCCTGCATTTGTTGTTGCGTATGCGATAGAAGAGCCAGATCATCTGCGAAGTCTAGATCGTCCAGCTGCATCCTAGCTGTCCACTGTATCCCGTGCTTCCCTTCAGATGTTGACGTCTTCATGATCCAGTCGATCACCAGGAGAAAGAGAAAGGGTGAGAGTAAGCAACCTTGCCTGACACCGGTCTTTACTTCGAACGACTTTGTCAACTGTCCTCCATGAACGATCTTGCAGTTTAATCCATCATAGGAATTCTGTATGATATTGACTATCTTCTGAGGCACGCCGTAGTGTCGAAGAAGCTTCCATAGGGTTGTTCTGTCCACGCTTTTAATGAATATTACTACTGCGTAAATGAAAATTTATTCAAATCAAATAAAGAAATAACATGTTTAGAGTAAGAGATTAATTATCAACAAGGAGAATGTTAGTTTATTTACAATTTAATATCATAAGAATTTGGTAAATATACAAGAAATACAAAAATTGATATTAATGTTGTAAATAAATAAACTTGAAATAATAATCTATCCACTACTCTAGCAATATATAACCAACGTGTAATGTTTATTTCTTTCGAGTATTCTTCATTTGTAAATAAGTTTTGATTGTATTGATCATTATTATTATTTTGTTATTATTATTATTATTATTATTGCTATCAGTGATAGGATCATTAACGTTACGTAATCGTTTATGTTCATTAGAATTTCTTTCATTCGGTATATTTCTTTTATGATCTCCTTTATATAATTTATATGAATTATTCTCTAATGAAATTTCAATATGTTCATTATTTATGTTGTTTCTATGGTTACAATTCAGATTAGTAGAATATTGATTAGTTTTTTTATATGGTATCATTGCTAAATAACCAAGTATACCAGTTACAAGACGCCATAATAATGGATGAGGTGTTGGACATGGTTCAGTTTTACTACGTATATGTATATGTAATACTATTGTAGCAAATATTAATGATATAGAATTTAATGTCATAACCATTGTAAGAAAAGTACCAATTAATGGTGTAGAATTTGATTCAGGTGTATTCTCTGCAATCATTACCTATAAAATAAACAAAACGTTTGAAGGCGATAGGTTAGCTATTCTTTTTGCTACTTGAATGATTTCACAAGTTATATTAAAGAATAGACCTTGGAAAATATTGAACTACTTTTTGAATATAAGTTTAAAGATCAGAATGTACCCAAAAATTTTGTGTATAGATTTCCGTTTAGCTAAGACCCTAGGTGATTGGATGGTGGTGATAATTTGTAGCTCAAGTGGATGATATTAATACGGTTTTGTTCTCTGAGCTGGATGGTTTGGTTGTGGAGCTTTCATCATTCTTCTGAATGACATCATCATTAGTATAAACGTTAGGTAGAGGTGAAGTGTTTGAATTTCTTCATAGATAGTTCACAGTTGAAGGTGTCATTCAGAAGAATGATGAAAGTTCCGCGACTAAATCATCCAGCTCAGAGAACAAAACTTTATCAAATAACCTTAAATGATAATCGTTCTCATTACTGATTCAATCCATTCAAATGAATTTTATTGTAGAAAAAGTAGACAATCATACAGTACTCATATTTGTATTTTTAAGAAGGAACTGAAAGGAATCCTTCCACAGCAATTTACATCTTTAATAATCTACATTTACTTGTATAACCACACCTAACAGAATGATATAACTAGTGAAACAATAAAAAAGTAAAGTAACCACAGTGTATGCATCCAATGGTGTATAGATGGATTAAGTTAGACAACTTTAATGAGAAACTTTTATCGTTTTTCTAAATAAGACTTAATGGTAATATCAATACAATCTATTCATGATCTAAATATACCCGAAATGAGATTGATCAACTACAATCCATCATATGAACAATGAGGAAAATATAATCCCTTCCAATATCATCAATAATTGATTTGATGTATTTAAATCTATATCTATTTAGTGACAAGGTTGTTCAACACTTTTATCTTGATTGAAATATTAAGTACATGTAAACAGATATGATCAAACTGATTATGTTTTACTGGATTGATTAGTAATATCAACATTATATTTATTCAATTTCTTCATAAGTTTATCTTTGAAGTTATTGATTTGATACAAATATAATTAAGTCCCAGTCCATTAAGTCAATGACATCAACATTAGATCAAATCAATAAACCTATTTAACCATAGATTACAATTGTTACAAATCATAGGATAAACAAATCTATATCTATCAACATTGTTTATAAATGATTAGTTAATTATTTTAGAGACTGATACCATATCTTTAATTTCTCATTCCTAACTTCTCTTGTATCAGTTAACATTGGATATTAGAATAGGTTTGGTCTTAAGATCATTTACATGTATCTTAACCATTTTAGTTGATGAGTGATTTTTATTATTGATTTTTCTATCTTTATCTAATACCATATCTTTCATTACAGTATTACTTATATTTTTGATCCCATTATGCATAATTAATGCATTGAAAATATCTATAACCGATTGGTTACAGTTTAATCATATTTTTTACTTTCATTGGTTATATTTCATAAATATTGATTAATGAAGAATCAGGTACTGTATAGTATATTCTATCCTTCATTAGCAGATCAATAAAAACATTTACATATTTAATTAATATAGATAACAATCAACTAGTGAAGATTTTATTCATCAAGTTAATTGCCATCTAGAAAATATGACGAGACTATAATTTCTGGACAAATCAATCAGGTATAAGATAACAAGTCTTGGATTTCGGCATGAAATTCATTCATCCATTTAGGTAAATGAAGTTTTGGCATTATAACTGATATCAGTTCTCGATGAAAACCCTAAATATAATTCTTAACCCTAAGCATAAACTGTAAACTATAATTATATTTATAATCATAGAGTGATATTATAGTATCGGAGAGGGGTTGAAGTTATACATTAGAACCGTTGAATGCCAGCCAGTTCAGTGGTCTACAGGTTAAGCGTTCGCGCGTGAGACTGATATGTCCTGGGTTTGAATCTTGTGAGATGGGATAGTGGATACACACTGCTGAGGAGTTCCATACTAGGACGATATGGCCGTCCAGTGCTTCCAAGTTTCCCATAGTGGTCTAACTTCAATTAACTCATGATCTCAACTATTAAAGTAATTCTAATTCCTCACACTAGTTTATGACCCTTATTTGATCCTAGTTATTAGGTGCACACTCACAAAGTCACTTCGGCGTCATTCAAAGGTCATTCATAAATTATGGTCTCAACGGAAATACTATAAGTTATAACTTATTTTTACTCATCTTTATATCAGAAGGGATTTTGTGGATATTATAGAAATTTCAATGGTTGAGATCATGAATCAGTTGAAGCTAGACCACCATGGAAAACATGGAAGCACTGGACAACCGTTTCTTCCTGTTGTGGGACTCTTCAACAATGCACATCTACGACCTCGCCTCGCGAGATTCAAACCCAGGACCTATCAGTCTCACACGCGAACACTTAACCACTAGACCACTGAACCTACATTCAGCGGAGTTAATGTCTAACTTCAACTAATCTACGACGTTGAACGACACATCATCATTGTTTAGTTAAAGCTACACCACCTCTTGACCTCTTGAAGCCAGTCACTACTGACTGACTCATGAGCTTAATCATTGAAATTTCATCTTTATATGTCAGTGTGTTCTCCTTTCAAAGATAATTTATTTCTATGGATACATGTTTATAAATTAGAATACTCATCATAATCATCATAATAAAAAATATAAGTCACTCTTATGTTAATCTCTATAATAGAAATTATTATCTTTAATAATAAAAGTATAACTAATTAGTTTAATAATCATTTTAATCTAAACTACTTAATTAGTAGTAAAGTGATATATTTTTTATTTAAAAAAACAAAAACAAAAGAGAAATCAAATTTATGAATTACTTGTAGAAAATATAAAAATAGAAATACTGTTAATCCCATATCGATTTTTTTCACATTTCCACTTGGTAACCAAAAACTGAATACTGTTAATATACATAATAATATACTTGGTGCAATCACTGTATAAGCATAGAATATAGCTCGTCTATAAATATGTATTCGTAAGTTAATCTATAAGAGAAAAATAGGAATAGAATATAATACATAATATTGAATATTTATTGAATTACCAATAGTGTATACATATATGTATTTGTTAGATCCCGATAATCATAATGAATGGTAGCTGTTGGGATCCATTTGTGAACCAATACTATACGTATATTTTTTATCGTATAATCGTTAAATAACTAAACTACCCATATTCATGTCTCTCCTATTATAAGCTTCAGTTTGACCTATGAACTATTATTCTACGATTTACCATTCTCGAGTTATGCCCTGTCTATCGATAACTACCTACCACATTCACAGCCACATTTGACCAAATCTTGTATAAATGTTGTTTCCTATTTTATGCTAAGTTGTTGTCCGTTTGATTGGTATATACCGAGTATGTTTGAAATACATGATTCATATCGCAGTTGTTGAAATTGGTGTTCTGAACTTAAAAAGCAGGGCTAGGCAGGAAACAGGACCAATAAGGACTCTAGACTGCTCGTACAGGTTTTATGAGTCGTTGGTCTGATCGATAGATCACTGTTCTCTAATTGGCGGTATCATCACATTATACATTAACAGGGTATACAGGCTACAAATTATAACAGTATTATTTGAAGTTCTGTTGTAAAAATTGACTTATCTGGAAGCATGATAGTATCTTAACAATGATGGTCATTCTAACATATGGTGAACTGTGTTAGGTTGATGCTTTTTTAGACGAATTGAATACCTATAAGGTGGTTAAATGATAACACGTTCAGTGCGAGACTTGAGACGCGTGAGAGTACATGGTTAAATCTCAAATAGAAAATCAATATTCTTTGATTTTCAGTGATTTTTTACCTAATATTGATCTGTTATTGAAATAATACAACTGACAAGTTCGATTTAGGACGAAAAGCACAACCCCAATTCTTCCGCTAGCGTATTAACAAATATTTAATAATTTCAATAGTTGAGATCATGAAGCCAGACCATCATAGAAAACCTGGAAGCACTGAACGACCGTTTCATCCTATTGTAGGACTCCTCAGTAATGTACATCCACGATATTTAATAGTTACAATAAAGAATCATGTTTAGTTCTTTGAAATAATTTGCTAGAAACCAAGTAGATTATCGAAAGTACTTTGACCAATCAATATTCTTCAGAAAAGTTTAAATCTGACTGGATAACTGGTAAATTCACTACTAATTTTAATACGTTTTACTCAAAGCTGATGAAATTTGATGATCACCCATAATCTTATAATTACACTTCGTTTTTGTTTATGAAATAATCTTTAACCTATAATTTCTTTCATATTTTCTGCCTTCATTTTGTGTTTCATGTCCAAGTATGGAAGAATATCAAACTGGAAGAAGTCAATATTGAAACGTTTCATGTATTAGGTCTATTGAAATATAAAACACTTAATCCTTATAGTAAATTTGGGTAATGCAGTGTGAAGATGAAGATTATCAGAATTATGTGATATACTGGACAAGTACACTTTTAACAATCTGATCATTCATAAACTTATTAAAGACATTATATATTGAAGATGCCACTGGTATTTGGAGTTTGACAACGTTTTAACCAGTAACACATTCTAATATGAATTGTACCCACCAAGGGAAATCAAAAGACAGAAGCGAGGAGGTTCGAAGATATATTTGATAGGCTATCAATATATCATGAATCGACTGATCTAATCTGGCTAGCGATTGAAGGGGATGTTTGTTGAGCATGGTATTCTCACTCGTAATCGGGTGTGGATGCATGACCAAGTGCCTTCAGCTAGGTGAGTCCATTGAAACTAATGTGGTCAGCATTCAATATCGAAGACTTACAGAGCTATTTATTTTGGGGATTTATTTATGACTACAATAAGAAAACTAAAAGGCCAACTACACAAATTAATAGGTTAGGGGGTGGGTGGTGGAAACAAGGATAATAACAATAAGGTGCATAACATGAAAAACAATATTAAAACCACATTGGATAATTAATCACTGTTACAAGTATAGGTTAAGGGTAAGAAGGAATTGTTTTTGATTATTCAAAGATGGTTTCAATATTCGTATAACCAAAGCTTCAATAGACCTTAGTATACACCCTTCTCAGTGGAGGAAGATATTTGTATATCATGTATTCTTATCTGATCATTGGAATAGTTTCTCATATAGTCTCATTTTGAAACGAAGGCTTATATTAATCATTAATAGGAAATTTTATGCTTTCAAACTCGTCCTTATCGAAAAATCAAGGTCTATATTTTACCAAAAACCCAAAGAGCATATAAGCGATTGTGTTGTATTCCATTTCGTCTGTAAATTTACATGTATCCGGGGAAACATGTACATAAGTAGGAGCAATGGAGTGCTATCAATAAGTGTAACCGTACACATACCTAAATAGCTACAAAAGCAAATGAATTCCAATGGTCAAATAAGATCGCGCGATAGACAAATATCTACCTCCGTTGATAAACACTTGGTTGAGACCGGTTATATGGCTGTTATCATGTTAGTCTTTGTAGTTTTATATAAAAGTGTTTAAGGGTGTATACTAAGGTCTATTGAAGCTTTGGTTATATGAATACTGAAACCATCTTTGAATAATCAAAAACAATTCGTTCTTACCCTTAACCTACACTAGTAACAGTGATTTATTATCCAATGTGGTTTTAATATTGTTTTTCATGTTATGTACTTTATTGTTATTATCCTTGTTTCCACCCCCCCTAACCTATTAATTTGTGTGGTTGACCTTTTATTTTTCATATATAATGTCTTCAACAAGTATATAGATGATCAGATTGTTAAAAGTGTACTTGGCCAATATATCACGTAATTCTGATAATCTTCATCTTCACATCTCCTTATCCAAATATAAAATAGTTCTTTATGGGTAAAGATGGATAGTGTTTAGCAGCGGAATCTAGGGTGCCCACTTCGTCCTATTTGAAACTCTTCAACTGGATGTATTTGCATCCCATAGTTGATATTCACTCTGGGACTCGAACTCAGTACACTACTAGTCACCGCAAACGTCATCACATTATCCACTTAGCTACTGAATCCTGTTATAGCCACCTGTTTGTACAATGGGGTAAAGTTTTAAATTCACTTATCCTATTGCAATTCATTATGTAATCGATTATGTAATATGATTAAAGAAAAAAAAAAGAAAGATTTACTTGAGTAATATTTTGTCCACCAACAGTAATACGATAATCTTTAAAAATTTTCAATTCTGGTACAGCTAATTCAACATTTTCAATTAATTTATTTAACATAATAGTTGTATTCACTGGTATAATATTTAATTGTAATTGACTTTGATCATATGTCCATGATGCTAATTGTATATTACATAATTGATGATCAAATGGAAAATATAATACATCAACATTACATGAACTACGTATACTAACTGGTAAATTCCAAGTAACTTCACCTTTCAAATTAATAATAGAAAAGATAGAGAAAAGAAACAAAAAAGAAAATAATTAGTTCATTTATAAAAGAAAATATGAATGGATTAATAGTAGGATCGTTGAATTCATGAATCGATGAAAGACAACTCTTTTGTCCTAGTATAAAACTATTGTTGAACAGTGTACATCCATAATCCTACACAAGGGACTTAATCCCATGACCTTTAGTCTTACGTGCGATTGTTTAACCTGTAGACCACTAAGACTATATCCAATGATGTTCATGCTTAACTTCAACTAATCCACTATATTATGTAATCGTCCATCATTGTCTTTAATGAGTAACTGCCTCTCGCACTGCTGACAAGTTTCATACTAGGGACGAAACAACTGTCTAGTCCATCCAGGTTTTCCGTGGTAGTCTAGCTTTTATTGACTCCATTCTGACAGGAATGAAATACTTTGAAAAAGATGTTATGATAGTTTTTTGTCATGAAATAACATTAATTATTAAACAATTAAGAGCTAGAAAATAGTGGATAGACAGTTCACTATCGATTTGGTAAACTCTGCCTGGAGTCCCTCCGGGGGCTACTGCTGGTCCCAAGCCCGGATGAAGAAGGAGGGTTGGGCATAAGGTTAGCGAGCCCATCCCGTAGAAAGTTAACTCGCTAAAAAATCGCTAAGTAAGTAAGTATAGATTTGGTATTTATTCAAAATACAGGCCAATGATACGCTACATAGATTTAATACTAACGGTAAATAACTGCCTCAATACTGACCTGAATGAATTTCACCAGTTAAGGGGTTTCAAGTAACACTTAATAAATCCTTTAATAATCCATTCAATAGTTGATTGACGATTGTTGTATATAGGTAAACAAAGCAAAAAAATTGATTGTTCTAATCATGTAACTATTTTAATTTTGATTTTACTCAACTGATTAAATAGTTATATGGATGACTTGAACTTATGATTTTATCCTGAAGAATTGATAAATTGACATTACGTTAGGACTGTCATCATTTTCCGGTTAGCTGAGATCCTAAGTTTGTAGAATTCTACCTAATCCAATAGTTTCCAAGGGTCAGACATTGCTGTTAATCAAATTGTACTTCGAAAACACTACATATTTTTAAGAAACATATGTTTCAGTTAATCATATGCAACGTAGAACCTGGTTCAACTTCCTACATTATATCAGCACAGCAAGATGAGATTATCAAAATAAATTCTAGTGCAGTAGAACTACCGACAGTATTACTGGTAGTAGAAAATATGATTCGAGAAAAGTGGATTCTCCGAATAACAGGTATAAATTAATTTTAAAGTTCAATATCTAAGTGAAGAAAATGAGTAAATACATGTGAGCCATTGTAATCACTCCTATTTCATATCACTCAGTGTCCTCAACCATTCGTTAGGATAATCATGCTGACTCTAACCAGATAGTCTCCATCTGCCTAAATGACTCAGTCTAATATTCATGGACTGATGATCTTAGTTTGACCACCTCTAGCCCATTTCCTACTTATTCCTACACCGACTAGTATCATGTGCTAAGGTGGTTGGTGGTTGAACATACATAATACATATTGCAATGACTTCAATTGATGGAAATTTCACAGCCTCATAAGCTGATTTATCATCTTTACCTGTTGCCCTGTGTCTAACATCAACATTGCTAACTTAATACACTCAAAATAATTCAGTAATCTTTAGAATACATATATATATCACATGCTAGTAACACACAAATATCCTTCACTTTCAAAGGCCACGGTTCATAGCTTTAGAGTGGAACAGAGTGAACTACCGTGAAATATACTTGTTCTTTGGCTGGAAGATGAGCATCTCAACTACAACACAACTGAAGTAACTTGGTAAACGCTAACTGACCTTTTCTGAATAAGTGGTGTGACTTTGCTAGTTACCGACACAGTAGGAATGATAAAACCTCTAAGATAAGTAGCCGACGATTTCAACTATTTCACTCCTTATGACTAGTCTAGGTGATGATGCAGATCACTCTTGAAGCAACACTTTGCATTTAGAATCAGTGAAACTAATACTAAATACTCTTATATTGTTACTCCAAACCATTAGAAGATTCTAGATTTTATTACTGTCTTCGTTAAACAGAACTATATCATCTGCAAGTCAATAAACGAATCCTCTAGTAGGAAACTATCCAATAAGGAGTCAAACTTTATGGTGCAAAGTAACAGTCTCATCTCAAGACTATAAGATCAAAAGTTTGAGTCCTGGTGGTGGAGAGGGTAAGTGTATGAATACTGCTGAGAACTTCTTTACTCTTAAGAAATAACTATGTACCGTTCATACATCCATAGGATGTCAACTTAAAAAAGAGTTAATAGTTCGCGGTTGGTGCCTTTCATTGCAGTGATACATATAAAAAAATGTACTACATAAACAATTTTTGAACTGGAAAACTTAAAACAGTCTTATATCACAATTGATTGATTACTGGGAGTTGATCAGTGTCGTCCGTTTCTGGTCCTTATTAGGGAAGATCGAATGCTATCGACCATGTTGCAGTGTGGTCAATAGTCTAGGTGACTCGACACTGCGTGCACTATTGTGAGATCAAATGGTGGTTGGAGGTAGTGAAACTGGGTGACACGGGATCAAATCCGTCAGAGAGCACCAGTTCCCTCAAGATTACAGGTACACCTTGCTGACGAGTGCCAAGTAGCACGAAACCCGGGTCCAGAGTTTCTTGTCGACTACCTCCAACCACCATCTAACAGTCTTATATCAGATAACTGCTCACTACATTTAATATTACTGTGGTGTATACTACTGATGTCGACAGATATAAGTAGTATGTATCATCGATCGAAAGTGAAATGCCTGGTCGCAGAAAGTTGAAAAGATCAAAGACAACAGAACAAGAGTAGAGAATGGTTGGTATGGAAACGAAAGAACAATGAAGTCTGATGGATATTTTGTAAATGAAGTATTTACTGTATGGTTTTCAGATTTTATCAAGATAATCTGTAATGTTGTATCGAAATATATTCGATTGTCCTCATTTGTGTTCTCGTTCACTATACTACATTTCATTATATTTGACACCAGTTTTCAAAGGACCAAATCATTTTATCTTATGTTTTAATGATGCTTTGAAATTGCTGTTGAAGATTAGTTGACAGTGTCATTAAAATATTGGTCACAATAATCATTTCTAATGAATATAGAGAATGTTTAACTGCTATTGTGACAACTGATTATACCTTTTAAGCTTTACATGTATTTATACATATTGTTTCGCTATAGTATGCGACACACTCAACACTACAATCTCATAAATTCATCAAGACTAAAGGCCAAGACCATCGATTCTAGAAGTGAAATGCATTGCTTTTAACTCATTCAGGGTAAATCGAATGGCTTTAACTATGTATAACTTAACGAAAAATAAATAAATGTATTTCTACTTAGGTATTAGTAAATGACAATATGTGAGCATAGTTTATATCCTCATTAGTTGCTATATTCTATTAATTTTGTGGAATGTGTATGAGAGACAGAGAGATGTATCAATTCAATTAGTTTAACCCAATTTCGGAAACAGTTTCCATTAAAGTCCCTTTAGAATGTGTTGGGGTATTCAGAAAATACCCCAGAAATTATCTAATGCTATTCCTGAATGAGAAGTAGTGTCATTTCCCTATTGGTCAACATTCTCCCAACGTGTCATCTCCTTATTGGTCAATATTTATTTGTGTCACTTCCTGAAGGTTAAATCTTATACAAATGTTACTTTCTATTTTATGGTACGATGTAGTCTGTTTGATTGCTTTATAAACAGAGTATGTTTGAAATATAATGATTCATATCTCCGAGGCTGAGACTTGTGTTCTGGACTCAATTGGCTGGGCTAGACAGGGAAGCAGGACCAATCAGAGCTCTAGGCTGCTCGCTCGTGTTTTATGCGTCACTGTTCCGATCGATAATAGGCTGCTCTCTAATAGGCGGATCACACGTTATAACAGAATGATTACCTAAAAATTGATTTTCCAGAAAATTCCTCAATAACAAGTTGATATTTTTGGCTGATAAATAACAATTTGCTTCAATCTCATTAATGAAGATACTACAATCAAATAAGCGCTATTTTTTTCTTTAAAAAACGTCATTGTCTAATATGTCTTATAAAATAGGATTAGTAGCTCATAGGATTATAATAAATAAAGATTAAATACACAAGTTTTGAAGATTGACAACATAGAATAGATCTTTCAAGTCATACAGTCAAATAAATTTGTATCATTAACTTTTATAGTAAAATTTGAATAAGTTCTCAATAGTTCATAAAATAGGATAATGAATGAAACACAAAGCACCCAAATGTCCTGATATCGTCGAGAATGGGAAGAGTCCGCTCTCCCTCTCCAAACACTCTCACATAGCAACATGCATATAACCACTATCAGGGAAGTCCTAATCACTGCTTCTTAACGGTATAACTGTTGTTTACGAAATTGAGATAATGAAAATCGAATGTTTGGTGCTTTAACCGGACTGGTGAATATGGAGGGTTCATTGAGGGGAGTTGAAAAATCCTAGTTCCAAACCAATGGTACACTTTACTTTCAGTATCTTAACGAAACAAATGGTATATGAACCTATTGTTGGTCACTGGCTATTATGAGACTGTATCTGTTTATATTGTTCCACTGCCTTATGGATTAGACCTTTAGGTCAAAGGATCCGGGTGTAGCTCCCTAAGAAAACCCCCTGCTTCGATTTGGACACCCGAGCAATATCACAGCCTTCACACAAATCATATGATTTGGTACCTCCTTGTACCAATGTTTATATGTCTAAATAAATAAAAACAAGGCAATGACTTTGATAAACAATTTCGTAACTTTTGAAACAATATTTATATTCATAATTCACATAAACTATTCAATTAATGAGATTGTAGTGTCGGTTATTATGTTAAGCATATATACCTTATTCTAGCTTTCGGACAGCCCATTCCATTCTTTCTACTTGAGTCATATTTTGATTTTTTTTTAATCATTCACTTATCAATCTTCACTGTTTTTATATGAGCGCATATGTGTGTGTACATTTCTTATCCTATTCATCACATATCTGTAACTTATTTTTGTGTTATTATAAATAATGATTAACGTTTGGTTGAATGGGTGTTGGCTTACCCGCCATTTTTTTACTTCTCTCTCTTCTCTTCGCATCGTTTCCCCGTTCGTTTTTTCTAGATCAACGATTATACAACATACATGTGTTCAAAAATCCATTCTCGTTATTTGACTTATTTAATTCCATTATTGACTAATACGATTTAAATCGATAATTATATACGAGAATAGGCGATATATACATTTCAATAACAATCATACATAAAATCTACTTGGAGTTAGATCTTGGACTACTAAAAGATAACCTTCATAAACTTTTTTTAAAAAAAAAAATCATGACCCGATCTACAAAATTTACATTAAAAGAACAAAGAAACCCCCCACCCCATCAACAAAACACCATACCTTTTTGATTCACTCGTACACGACTTTGTGATACATCCAATAAACCATTTTTTCCATCATCTGCATTATTATATACATATAAATCTGGTGTCCATATACGTGATGATGGTAATACAAGATTTGGAAAATATGTTTTTAATTGATTATAATTATAATAATGATTATTATTTCTATGATATAAATCATATAATTGTAACATTTTTAATTTAATTGTTTCATCAATCCATTTAAGTTGTATTAATAATGATGTAAGTAATATTTGATTTTTTTCATCTAAATCAACTACTTGTTGTAATATTATACGTATAAATACATTTAATGTTTCATTACCATATTGAATTGGTCGACTAGCTATTTCATAATTATATAATAATTGTTTAATAATTAATTTTTCAGATAATTCATTACATTTACAAGAATGATTACATAATAATATTGATTGAATTATGATTATGATTATTAATTGATAATGTAATAATTTTAACATAATTGATAATAGATATCCATTGAATTTTGATAAATAATATTGAATTTTGAATGATTATAATTCCCCCTTTCCCTATGTTTGTTTTTATTTATTTATTTATTTATCTGTTTTTTTTTTTTACAAAAAATAATCAATCAGAATTGACCAATCACAAATTGACTTATAATATTTTAATTTTGATTGGTTGATTTAGGTTGAAATAAAATGAATTGTTTATCCTGTTTATTAGGATTATTGATTTCCGATATGATGATTATGATTATTAATCATGAAAATAGGGGTTTTTCTACAAAAGAAAAATCAATAATGAGATTTTGTTTTATTTCTGAGAAATGATTTATTGTATAGGCAATAAAAAGGAAGAAAAAGAAAAGGATCCGATTAAAATGTTTTCTATAAAACATTAAATAGAGATAATGGTGGTGGTAGGGAATGTGATGAGATTATAATTTATAAAGAGAAGAAATTTCCTTTTAATTAGTTTTGTTTCATTATGGCTTTGTACTAATCTATATTCACATGATATTGATTTAGTTGGACCTACTTGATTTTTCAATGGTTGAGATCATGAGTCGATTGAAGTAAGATCATCATGGAAAACCTAGAAGCACTAGACAGTCATTTCATCCTATTGTGAAACTTCTCAATAGTGCGCGTCCACAATCTCGCTTCACGACATTCCAACTCAGGACCTATCAGGTTCGCACGCGAGTACTTAAACATTAGATCACTGAGCCGACTAAAATCCAACGATGTTAATGTCTAAATTTAACCAATTCACGAAATTCAGCGACATATCCACCATTATCATCAGTGAGTTACTATCTCACAACAAACCTGGTTGAACTCTACTAGTCACCGCTTCTCACTAGAACTCCAGGTTATACCTCTTGAAGCCAGTCACTAGTGAATATATAATGATTAATATCAGAAGAGGTTTTTGTGGATATTATAGTAATTTCAATGGTTGAGATCATGAGTCAATTGAAGTTAGACTACCACTTGATTTTGATTAAGGTAAATATACTGCTTTGTTCCTGTGAATTGTTGAATAATCTTAATTCGGCTACTTGTTTGCTCTGAAAAAATGACTTATGATAAGTTACTAAACATCAAAAATTCAAATTTACACTTTATTGAATATCACAAATATAACATTATTTTATTCTGATCATTTTATATTCAACAGGTAGCTAAAACATAACTTTACATAGCTTAATTTGTCTTATTAGACTATCTTCAAGTGAATTTACTTCTCAGCATATTATGTCTTTTGTATTTTTTACTTCGGTCGAAAACATATTGAGAATAGTAATACAGGCATATCTAACTGACGAGTAATAAAGATGTTGGGGTAATCCAGAAATTTTCCCACAAAAGATGAGCAAGGATCAGAAAACACTAAGAAGCATTTTATTCAATCAGCGTTCACTTGATGTTTTAGCCAGAAACATTAAGGAAGTGAAACGTCACATGTAGAGATTCTTATTGACTGATTAATTATACGGCTACTATGTTTAGTAGCATTCCTGAATCTTCGAGCAACCTAAGGGCATTTAAAATATTATAAAAATCCTATATTTTCTGTATTAAAATGAACCTTTGAAGTAAAGTACTTTCGTATACTTTTCGCCTTCTTTCTCGTGTTCAGGTCGCTGTATAGTTCTAGCTTGGGGGTTTCAAGAATAGTTTAGGATCTGAATATAGTGTTCAAATTGCAAGACTTATCAAAAGAAGATGAGATCGAGATCTTGGACTGTAACACTGTTACGTCATTGGTCTGTCTATCCAATAATATACAAGAGAGAACTTGTCTCCATATAAGTTAAGGCGTTGACACGATAGACTAACTGGTTAAACCATGAAGCTAGAAACGGCCTTAATCAATAAGACGAAAACCATTCTATCATCTAAATGGTTAAGAATCAATAAAGAGAAGAAAACGGGTACACTGGAATATTGCTTGGTTTATTTCCAACTCCTAATTCAGGTTAGTGTAAACAGATTCGTGAATAAATAGATGACTAACATGATCAAAGCCCCACAAACAATTGGAAAAATAAAAAGAATAATATATTTGTAATATCACAATCAGTAGGAAAATTAAATGTTTGTAACTTCTTCAGAGAAATGGATTACAATCAGCCTAATGCTCAATTTATTTGAAATTACCAAATCAAATCTTGGTAATGACACATACAATTAGAGAAATACAATTATATTCAAACTAGACATTAATGTAGGAAAATAGATTAGCAAAGGTTAGGTTTAAATTACTATAGTTTTGGAATAGAAAACGATATGGCAATGAATCATACATCAAACGAATGCTTATGGCTTACACAATAATCTAAGGACCAAAACAACTGTTAATGTTTTACAAACTTTGAAGTTTGTGAATTATTAAGTAGATTATGAAGACCTCGACATCCGAGAGGAAACACGGAATACAATAAACAGCTCGGAATCAATTAGAATATTCGGACTTCGTAGATAACCTAACCGTTCTATCCCATACACATCAACAAATTTAGGTGAAGTCAAACAGTGTACCAGCAACCTCAACATTCACAATGGAAAGAGCAAGATCTTCAAATACAATACGGAGAAGAGGTGGAAAGTTGCAATTACCTGAAAAGCATCATCGATGAACGTGGAGGATCTGATGCAGACGTATAGTCGACGATTCGCAAAGCAAGGACAGCATTCCTACAGCTGAAGGACATATGGAACTCAAATCAACTGTCTGCAAACCAACATCAAAGTCACAATCTTGAATACTAGCGTCAAGACAGTTCTAATGTACAGAGCTGAATCTTCGACAGATACTATAACCATCATCAAAAAGGTACAAGTATTTGTAAGCAGTTGTCTACGCAAGATACGCAATGTGCGTTGACCGTATACCATCAGCAACAGTCTACTGTAAGAGAGAACAAACCAGCTCCCAGCTAAGGAGGAAATTAGGAAAAGACCCTAGAAGTGGATAGGTCATACATTACATAAATCACCAAACTGCATCACGAGGAAAGCATTAACTGGGAATCCTGAAAGCAAAAGGAAAAAAGGTAGATCAAAAAACACACTTCGAGAATTCGAAGCAGATATGAAAAGGATGAATATCAACTGGGAAAGATTGCCGAGGACAGAGTTGAATGGGGAACGCTGGTGATTGGCCCATGCTTCTTCATGAGGAGTAACTGGAGTAACTTGGAATTATCTCTCTTTGTACAATATATATACACTACTTGTCACTTGAATGTGTTTGTATGTGAATATGTTTGAATAAAATGAAATTCCCCGGAAGTAACAAAAACTTTTCTTATTTAAATCTGTTATTAGATATCTGAGAAAGTATCGTTTTAGAAAAAATATCGATCCATATGATAAAGATCATTTAATTTTGTTGTTGTATCCTCTTTGCTTCTTCTTATCTTAAAAAAGAACAAAGAACCACTACAATCCTCACGATGTGAAGTAAGAACATCAAGATTGATACAAGGAAAGATTTATTAAACGTCAAAACACAATGACAACCTTAGTCGAAAATACACTCAGACTGTATATATTGATTGGACACTTATTTTGACTATTAACTAAAATAGAATTACATACACATATAAAAAGATACCAACATGGTGCATGTCATTCTGAGCATAGTTCCTATTCAATTAATATAAGAATATTGTATCTTGGAAAAACATCACACTCAAATGAATTCATGTTTTACCGGATAAAATAGTATACTAGAAAAACAGAAAGCAAATACTACACTGTATAGTCATCATATTGAATTAAAACTGGAAGTCATGTTAAGTAAGAATCATAATAAGTAAAGGAATCGAATATTTTTCTTTTAATCCTGTCATAATACATTCTCTTCACTTTTCTAATGAAATACGTAAGAATAAGTGTTCCGTGGAGAGTCTATTCGTACTCTGAGAGAACTCTGCCGATTATAGGGTTTTGTTCGTGCTTCATTTTAAAAAAAGTACTTAACCTTCTAACTTCTATGATCTGCTCCTCCGTTTAATACATATATGACTCTTTCTCCCCCTCACGAAACAATGTTGGCTTTTCATATACTCAAGTTACAAATAATGTGACTTTATTGACATGAACCGTCTCAATACTTTCATTATATGAGAGTATTGAGGTGTGTGGATATACACAATAGTTGAAGGAACCTTTCATATGATCTTGATGTGTATGATTAATGTGATTTACCAAACTTTCATATGGAAAAATACGATGTCGTTATTCCATGCACAATATGGATTATAAACGGAAGTAGTATTGAGCAAGAATTATAATGAGTTAAAAATGTGATTTCCCTTTCTCATCCTGTTAATATCAAACTTTCATTGTTGTTCTTTGTTACAGAATTAATTTCAGAAGGGGTTTTGTGGAGATTGTAGTAATTTCAATAGTTGAGATCGTGAGTCAACTGGAGTTAGACCACCATGGAAAACCTAAACTGATAGGTCCTGGGTTCGAATTCTGCGAGTCAGGATAGTGGATGCGCACTGCCACTGAGGAGTTCCACAATGGGACGAATCGGCCATCCAGTACTTCTAGGTTTTCCATGGTGACCTAGCTTCAATTGAATCATCATCTCAACTATTGAAATTACAGAATTACTTGTTTTATTGGTTCTCATGGAAGTTTGATTTGATTTGATAATACTCAAATATATTGATATTGACGCTGAATAAATCGTTATATACAGAAGTTGTACCTAAAACTTTGGAGAAATCTGTATCATTAAAAGATTTAAACGTTATACTAGCCATTACACCTACTAAGATACAAAGATACTTCAATAAACCATTGATTGATATGATAAATGAAATATCTAAATTAATTCGATTTGCTTAAATATAGAAGACCATAGCGGACAAATAGCATGGTGAAATGAAGTTATTAGAACTGTTCCAGTTTGAATGATAGTGGATTAAACCACTCAGTTTTAGTTATAAAATGAAACATTTTCAGGTTAG